CCGCACACCGATAACTGGTTAGTGACTCCTTAAATAATGCAGTTTGCAGTTGTCATGAAGAACGGTACATTTCTAGCAGCGTTTGCATCTTTTAAAATCCCAAGGCGCCAGTGGTTATGTTCCGTTCTGGAGGATATGAGGGATGATTGAGTTTAGTGTAGAGTATCCTCTTTATCAGTTCCCGATTTCCGACTTGGCTACTATACTTGGATAGCCTGTTGTGCATTTTCCTATCTACACAGAACATTTCGCATGGTTGATAAAGTAATGAATACAAATATTTTATTACAAAGGGAACGTTACCGCGGAAAAAAAAACCTACACAGAACCTCTCGCGTGGTTAGTGAAGTATTGTATACAAATATTTTATTATATCACAAAGGGAACGTCAGCACGCAAAAGAGACAATATTGGGTGTAGGAGCAAACCAATTGTAGGTTTTGTTTAAAGTGGAATTCAAATTAAGCTACATTTCGAGAAACTCTTTCATTATGCAAGCTGTGTTAGTTGGTCATTCCAACGGCACTTTTTCAGATTAGCAGCTCTTCCGAAACTAATATGTACGGTAATGGATGGCAATATATAGTAGGTATACTTTCCTTGGATTTATTATATAATAGCACACGCTAGAGTGTTGCTGTGATCGAGAGAAGTGGTCCCGAACTCACGGAAGCAGTTCGGCTTCGTGTCTCAAAGGTCTACAAGTGATGCTTTCTCCATAGCTAGACAAGTAATGGAGAAGTGTTTAGAAAAGAGTTGACCCTGCTACCTAGCCTTCCTCGATCTGGAGAAGGCATTCGATCATCTCTTGCGGCAAGACCTGTAGAGAGCGCTCCAAATGAATGGAACGTTCCAGAAAACATGATCTCTGTGATCGAGGGCATGTACGATGGTTGCACTACACTACCCTGAGATCAGCCCTTAACCCGCTTTTCTTCCTGCTTACAATGGACGTCATCACAGAAGAACCCATGGATGGACCACTGAAGACCATCCTCTACGCTGATGACATCGCTTTGATAGGCTGCAGAAATGGCATAAAGTGCTGGCGCCAACTGAACATGAAGAAGACCAAGACCAAGTAGCTCAGCTCTGACGAGTGCACGGACTCAGTCGTAGACGATCTTGGGAAGCCATCTGAAATCCAGGACTATCGATACCTAGGAAGTGGTCTAACTGATGATGGTAGCATGGACCAGGCCGTAAAAATCAGAATAAACGCAACATGGATGAAGTGAAGGAACCCATCGGTGTTCTCTACGGCCGTCGCTGCTCCACTAAGGAAAAGTGTATAGGACAGAAGTAAGTCGCGCAGTACTCAGCGGTAGCGAGTGTTGCCCGTGAAAACCATAAAAGACAACTCCAATCCGCTGAAAGGAGAGAGCATGCCCATCTGCTCATAGAAGACAAAAGAATCAGCCTGTAGGGGAGGCAATGGAGTTCGGGACTCAAGGTCAGCGACCACGAGAAGCCCTAAAGAAGAGATGGCAGGGCGTGATTAAGAAGGACCTTGTCGAAGCAGAGGTCGTGGCAGAAGATGCCGTAGATAGAAAGAAGTGGAGACAGCTGACGAGAACAGCGAACCTTTCGACGGCGATAAACGTTTGCTATAAGATTGGCGCATAAGTCTTTGAACTTTTTGCAATTTTTTCAACTTTATTTTTTTCCTTCACGACAATGAACACTTAACATACATATGCACTGTAATTGTCGACAAGATATTGCCAACTATCAAGCAACTTGTGGACCTTGCTTGCATAGAATTCCTGAGATTTCGAGAAGAACTCGCCAATGTCGATTCAGAGTTGATTCACATCATCGAACTCCTTATTTTTTAGATGGTTTGACAGCGACAGGAGCAGGTGATAATCCGTTGGAGCCAGGTCTGGTTAATACTGTGGGTGGGCCAGAACATGCCATCCCAAGCTTTGAAGTATCTTCTGGGCCACCTTCAAAATGTGTGGGCGAGCACTGTCGTAGAGAAAGTAGACTTTCCCCTGTTTCTCTCGTAGATCTGCAGGCAGCAAAAAGGTTCGCAGAGTACACAAGGTTTTGATGCTGACGGTGAAGTTTCGTGGCAGAAAGTCTCAGTGAATGATCCTTCCGAATGGCTCCGAACGCTAAGCAATGCCTTCCTCGGATTGGAGTTTTGGTTTGGGGGTCAGGATTCCATGCTCTATGCGTCCAAGCCACTGGCGCTTCCTTGTGTGATTTACTTAGAGAGCACACTTCTCGTCGCCGGTGATTAAGTCTTAGAGCCATGAGTAGGTGCACCGGAAAGTCAACAAGTTCAGGCATGAATCTTTACCCATTTGGAGGTGGTGACCACCCAGCCCACTACTTATCCATATCTCCATATTTTCATGTGTTTCCAATGCGGTGCAAATGGGCAGCTACTGTGCCGTGATGGCTATGAACTGCTGTTTCAGCTCGCGTACTACACCTAGAATCCTCTTCAACCAACTTCAGGAAGTAATCGTCATTGAGCTCAGCTAGTATTTCAGATCGTGGTTTTTCTTCTTAGTCAAAGTGACCATTTTTGAACTGTGGTACCAATTTCTTGTTGTGCTGTGAGAGACAATGCAGGGTCCTACCGCATCACATATTTCCCCTGTCGCTCAATTTGGATTAACCTTTTTTTGAACTTATAAAGCAAAGGCAGTCTGACTCGCTTTGAGTCGAGAGCCATTCTTGCAGCCATAACCGTTGCGAAATGCTAGGGTGCGAAGAGGGCATTGACATGCACTTACACATGTCCCGAATTGAAGCTTCAAAACAATCCCCAAGTATTTCACAACATGGAAACGAAAATGTTCAAAGACTTATGCGTCAACCTGATAGAAAAAGAAGAAGAAGAGTGCTGCCTGCTTGGCAGTAGGCTCTTTTATTTAAACGAGAGAAAAAAGGAGAAAATGCTATCCACCTAAAAAACCACAAAAAGATTACTGTGATTTCGAAAGTCTGATCTGCAGCAATGCGCTGCTACTTGTTTTAGCCGGAATAGCACACAACAAAATCATCTCTCTAAATCTAACGGGTATATGACGTCTTGAAAGGGCAGCGATAGTGGTTGGCAAGTGGCGCACTATCACACACGCAAGGTCAGGGGATCGAAACCTGCGCCGATACTCGCCCGAGCACAATAAACCTTTCACCTCTGCGGAGTCGTTCATTTTTTACCAGATACGTCTGCTAGGATGAAAGCACTGACTTGCCCAGCGGCTTATCTTCGCAAATCTTTAAATAGCTACAAACGAACGAAGCTCAAAACGCCACGACGATTTTTGGTGGAAGTCGAATGTGATCGCTTCTCGAAGATTCTTCAAGAATGGTCAGTCGTCTTCGTCCATCTTCCTTGGGAATGATCTACGACTGAGAAATTTATCCTTTTCATAGGTTTTTACTGTTTACTAACGACACGATATGACTCGTTACCTTCTTCAGTGCGGAAAAACAGAACACAACACAAAAACTCCCATTAATGACTCGGATGCTTTTTGTTTAATAAATTGTTCCCTAATGGAAATGGCAGGGATTGTCGCGCAGTAACCTTGCCGACATCGAGATCGGTCATAGTTCAGCCCGTCCATCAACTAGGCGTGTTCCATTGTGAAACCTTGACGCCCGACAAGGATGACAAACATTGAGTGCGCTGTTCATAGCGATCATCGGTACTTCTACAAGTTTCTCGTTGATCGCGTTGATTGCCACGACTTCGACTGCTGTTTGACTTCTGCTCGTATCATTTCTGGTTTGTCTGGTCCCTTCATCGCTTGGAACAACACAAGTTACAAAAAACATCTTCAACTTGATTCAAAGATCATAGTCGACTTAGGAGTGAATAGCTCTCAGAATTCAGCGGTTGGGTT